CCACTCTTGTATAAATCTAACCTGATATATAATTCCGTTTAAATCGTAAAATATAAATCTTAACTATTACCCTAGTATCACGTCCCTTCAAGCACAATCATGGAAAATCCAAAACCTCAAGAAAAATTAAACATTTCCTCTGGCAAACTGCCACGGGCTGTCTGGCAACTTGTCAACGTCTAGCTGACCGTCATTCTGGCACAGATCGTTGGTGCCCCCGGTGCGGACTTCACGAGGAGACTATAAACCATATGATATTCGAGTGCCCTCCGACTTTCCAGGTGTGGGCTCTAGCCCAGTTCCCTATCATTCACAACGTCTTCCCGTCCTCTTCTTTGTTCACAAATTTGGATCACCTTTACTGGAGAGCTAAGGAATTAGAAGGTAACGAGGAAATCACCAGAATCTTTCCATGGATTATGTGGTTCATTTGGAAGGCCCGCAGCTCCAAAGTCTATGAGAACAAGGATGGCCACCCTGCAGACACTTGTCTTTTAGCAATAAAAGAAGCAGATTATTTTCGCCTAACGAGAATGCGTGACTCGTTCCTAGATTCCCTCCCTACTCCTTCTCCGCTAGAGACGTCTCCCCTCAGTTCGAGGAGGCTGGTTTGTCAGGTTGATGGATCTTGGGTTTTCTTGCACTCTAAGTGGTATTGGTTGGATAATTCTCTCTAATCATCATCCCCTTTTCATGGGTTTAAAAAGTTTATGACGCTATCTACTTCACGCCGAATTTGAAGCCCTTCTTTGGGCAATGAGGTTCATTATCTCACTTTCTATTTCTGAAGTTGTTTTTCACTCTTTTTCATCGTTTAGTTTATCTTTTATTCCACGCACTAATAACATTCAAGCTGACTGTCTTGCTAAAAAGGCATGTTTGCGAGGTTCTATCTTTCCCATGTAAGCTCTTCTACGCCGGACTGGTTCTCTTTTGAAGAAAACCGACCGTTTTTAGCTTGAATGTATGAACTCTTTTTGCTGTAAAGAAAACAAAAAAAAAACATTAACTACTACTTTAAAACCCAAACTGATTTATAATTTGGTTTAACCAAAAAATCTAAACCCTCATCTTTATTTATAAACTCAAATCGAGATATAATTTTGTATAACTGTAAATTCTAAACCGTAAACACTCTTTTATAAACCCAATCCAAAATATAATTTTGTTAATTTATTAAAATCTAAACCCTAATTATCCTTTTTAACCCAAACCGACAGATAATTTTGTTTAATTGTAAAATATAAACTCTAAACCATCTTTCATAAACCAAACTGATTTATAATTTTTTAAATAAAAAATCAATAGTTTATCTTTCCGTATTTTGTTTTATTTGTATGATTTTCATTTTTATTAATTTTTAAATATAATATGACATGACATATTGTTATATTTTGATTGGCTAATTAAGAGTGGATAAACCCAATTATTTTTCAATTCATAAATTATATTTACCAAATTTAAAATTAAATGCATTCTTTTCTCTCACTAAAAACTTATTATTGTCATAGAAAGAGATTTAGGGGAAAACTCTATCCACATTCTGTTGATAAGATATAGTATTAAACTTTGGAGTTCTTTGTCATCTCACCACACTAACAACCTCATTTCGTTAGCCAACTCATCAGCAAAGAAAAGAACATCAGTCCACTTCTCAACTAATTATTCTCACAAATTGGGTAATAATTTCCATAATTAATGGCACTGTATATTCGTGTGAGACCCTGGTTTACGGAGAAGTTTAAATGAATTGATTTGGTCACCTATGTCACTAAAGTGCACTTATCTTTTCAGTCAGATGTCAAGAGATAACTCCACAGTTAAGCGTGATTATGCTAGAGTAGTCTAAAGATAGGTGACATTCCGGGAAGTGATTGTCAGTACTTGTGTGAGTAAGACCAAAACACATGAAAAGATTATATGGTGATTTGTAAGGTCGGTAAACAAGTATTTAAGCCTCCTGAACGTAGCAAACTGATCGTCGAATATAGATGGAATTACGGGTCTAGTGAAAGCTGTGAGGCCCATTAATAGAGGTAAGCTCATGGATTGAGAGTGAACATGGACTCGCTGAAGATGTGACGGTCGGGCGTTAGAGTTCGACTCTTCATTATTGAGTAACTTGACTACCTTAAGAGCCTTAATAAATTTCTTTAATTTAAATTAAAATAATACAAAATAATTGAAAGGTAGGAAAGAGAGTAAGAATGGTTTTACTTTTGGTTAGAAAAGTATTTGTTTGAAAACTGTTAGAAAAGTCTTTGTTTGAAAAGCATGTATATCTACTTTACTTCTTGCTACCTCTATACTTTCTTCTAAGGAAATGACTATCAACTCCTTGAAAAACTCTAACTCCTTTTTTCCTCTCATTTTTCTAATTTCTTTATATTATTATTATAATAGCAAAAAGGTAAAATAGAATCTGTCATTTTTTCTCATTTATATTTTAAGTGGCTTCTCACTTTCTCTCTCTTGCTCTACACCCATTGTCGTCATATTTTCACTAGTAGTTTTACTGTCTTTCTTTTCTTTCACTAACAGCTTAATCAACATAAACAAAGATTTTTTTGCTCATTTTCTGTTTTTTTACTTTTTTGGTTCAAAGTTTTAATGTGTTCTATGAATCGTTTCTTTTGCTGGTAGGAAAAAAGTTTATGTTTTTCTTTTGTTTGCTTTAAATTTTTGAGAGCTTTTGCGTTAGGAAAACCATAGAGAGATAGATAGATAGATAGAGAAAGATTGACACTTTCAATTTTTAGGGTCTTTGAAATTGGGAAAAAGCAATCAGATGGCTCAACAGAGACAATTTCAGATTGAAGGTAATCATAATACAAGTATGAATGATACCAAGTTGACGAAAAATCGTCGTTGTCGGATTAACCTGGGAGACGAAGAGAAATACAATGAGCGTTACTTTGAACAGTTTGATGACAACAATTGTTCTCTGGGAGATGCATAGATAAATTCAGATTTCATGAGAACTGACCGCTACATGAGAATTGTTCAACTTCGTGGACAACGTACAAGAATTTGTGAACATGTGGACGATACCTCGTGGATAATAACAACACACCAAAGTCACCTTGACACAACCACCATATTGTTGAGAAAGGTAAACACCAAATTGGTATAAGGAGAAAGAGATATATACTTTTAGAGGATGTGATTTGCTTTTTACTCGCTTTAAGATGTAAGTTACCTTATGAATTTTCTCATGTGTTATATCTCTTACTTTTTTACTTTAATTTTTAAGATATTATATTGAATCTATTATAAGCCATCCATAATGCAAATTTCAATAATGCATGGGCTTGCTTTTATAGACAGATAAAAAGTAATTGGTCATCAACTTGATCACCGCCTTCTCGTTTCACCTAGACACCTTTACGATATCTATCCATGTGGTTACTATAGTTTGGATACGTTGGGATGTTCATTAATGTGTTTAGAGGTTACGATGTAATGTATGATTTATAGTTTTGGTTTAAGAGTTAAATTTAGCTGGATAAGGCTTAAGGTTTAATATTCATGTTTTATGTTTAGAGTTTAGTGTTTAAGGTTAGAGTTTTGAGTTTTGGTTTAGGGTTTGAGATATATGATTTAGGGTTTAAGGTATATGATTTAGGGTTTAAAATTGAATGTTTAAGGTATAGAGTATAGGGTTTATGACTTATTTATCAAACCACAAATTCTTTGATGAAATAAGTTTTGATATGTTTTTGTGTGACTAAAACATGTAGATTCATGTTTTTGTATAAGGTTTTAGATTCATGTTTTATGTTTAGAATTTTGTGTTTAAGTTTAGAGTTTTGATTTAGGGTTTAGGGTTGGAGATATGTGATTTAGGGTTTAAGGTATAGGATTTAGGGTTTAGACTGGTTAAGGTATTGGGTTTAGGGTTTAGACTGTTTAAGGTATAGGGTTTAGGGTTTATGACTTATTCATCAAACTACAAATTCTTTGGTGAAATAGACTTTGATATGTTTTTTAACACATATAAGTATCTATAAAACTATATGAAATTGTTCATCCATGTATTAATAAACAAATATTCAACTACATATGGATAGTGTATGATAAAATTAATTCATCAAAAATATAGCAATATGCATCTTAAAATGTAAAGAATATATAATCTTAGTTTATTGTATATAAATAAATAGATAATTTTTAATAATAAATATCTAAAATGATAACCTAAAATGAGAACAATAAAAAAAAAAAAAGAGAAAAGAGTGGGAAAGAGAGGAAGAGAGAACGAGAATCGAAGAGAAGAGGAAGAGATATTTATGTTTTTAAGTGAAAATTTCAACTATTCCATTGGCTCAGAGGACAAAATTGTCCATAAAAATATGTTTTCCTTTCAAATACATAAGAAAAGAATACCTTTAGCAAAAAATATGTTTTCCTGTCATTTGTTTTGCACAAATTAGGTCTACATGTAAATAACTCATCTTTATATGACACATGTCTATATATAATTATTTTAATTTAATTTGCCATTCAAATTTTAATAAATAAGAAAATTATATCAAAATTATTGTTATAGTATTGATAAGGTAGTCATAGTGTATCTCCCATTATTGGAAGTGGTCTTAGAGCAACCACAATGGGAGAGTTTTTTAATATAAATTTTGAAAAAATTTAGATGAAGAGTTTGTGATGGGTTTTTTATATTTATTGTGTTCCAATGGCAAGAACCTAAAGGTTCTTGAAATTTTATTTTTAATTTAATTATTTAATTTTTTTTTTAATAATTGCATTTTATTATTTCTTAATTAAACATGACTTTAAAAAAATATTTTACATTAAATAGAAGCAAATATAAAAACAAAAAGCATACAAGAAAATAAACTTGAAAACAACAATTGATTCGTTTAGATCAATGTTTATAGAAAGAAAAGATAGCTTCGTTGAAGTTGGAAAGTGAAATAGCAAAGATAAATTGGAAAATAAGAAATTTGATTTTTAACAAGACTGGGAATGTTGAGATTGAGAGCAAGAGAAGAAACGTTATACAAATTCAACAATATGTGTTCGATTGCAAGTTATTTATAGAAACTTTGATAATATGTAGTCCATTCGTTTACACATTTTATGGTGTGGTGCAGAAAAAAAGAGAATACATGTGTGGTGAGTGCTAAAAACGACAAAGATATATTCTCTTGTCCTTGAACCTCTTTCAGCCATACACTTCATGTCTGTGTCCTCATCTCTTGTCCTTGAACCTCTTTCAGCCATACACGTCATGTCCGTGTCCTCATCTCTTGTCCTTGAACCTCTCTCAGCCATACACTTCAACTTTTACCATACGTTGAACTCTTGTCATGTACTCCAAAACACATGAAACACAAAATAAAAACAAATCAATACTTATACACTATCCAAAACAGACAACAATACTTACACTTCTACACAATCCAAAACAGTCAACAAAACTTACACTTCTACACAATCGATTACGATATACTACAACAGAATCCAATCACAACAATATACTAATACACGATCGATTACTTAGACATAATCCAAGACTAACCAAATCAATCAACAACATTTACACCTAGAAGCCAAAGCAATACATATACACAATTAAAAAACAGACAAAAACATATACACAAAGATGTCAAAACAGACAACAACCAATCCTAGCAATCTCCAAAACAAGCAAACACATTAATCAATTAATACAACACATACCGTGTGTTGGAACTGAGTGTATTTCCTTGTTTTGCATCGCCCATCTACTTGCTATCATCTCCTACTGGTGTAAGAACTCAAGACATCTCCCGTTTAACATAAAAACAGAGAGAAATTAGGTATAAACATAGGGTAATTCAATCCAAAAATTCATAAAACCTATTCATTTTCAATCAAGCATGTCTCATAATCGTTACAATCATGCATAAGGACACCCAAAATTAGCTAATTCAAACACTAAATTATAGATCCCCAAATTTTCGAAAACCCTAAATCCCAAATCGACATGAACCCTAATCGATTTTCATCAAATTTATTCAATACAAACGATTAATTCATCAATTCTTGACACTATTAAACCAATCTAATAAAAAACATACAAGTTTTGTTGATTCGATTCACTCTCCCAAACGATTCTTCCTTTCGATTCACCCTCCCAAACACTTCCCTTGTAGCAACACGATGAACCGTCGAACCACGCCTCCAAGCTCTCGTCGATTCGCCGGAAATAACACTCTCCGCCGTCAAAGCATCGGTTATGACGGATGGTTCCATGCCTTCGATTTTTTCTGTTTGCTATCGGCGAGAGAGAGAGAGAGAGAAATAAGAGAGAAGAGTCGGGAAAGAAGGAGGAAATTTTTTGGCTTTTGAGTTTTTTTTTCTTTATATATTTTACAGTCCAACCAATTATAAACGTCCACGTCAGCGCCTCTTCAAGCCAAAGAAGACTCTCTTTAGAGAATCGGTTCTCAGTAATTTACCCATTAATTGAATAATTTTTTATCATTTTAACTAAGAGAACCTCATCAAACAACCCCCGTTGAGGTTGGTCTTATATCTTACTTGTATTTCCTCAACGTTTATCATCAAGATTACATTTTTTAAAAACATTAAACACTCAAAAAAGTCAAACTTTGATTAACTATAGATCGGCGGCTTAGTGAGGTTGATAATATTTATTTTTTTAAAAAAAATATACACCAGTGAATAATTGTCATGTGTTTTTAAGCACCTTTAAACACAGCTTCTTAAAAATATTAGTTAAGCAGCTACTCTTAAGCAAATTAATTATTTATGATTTAATTTTGACCACTTTAATATTATCAACCTCACTAAGCACCTCAAAATTACTTATATCCTTACTTGTATTTCCCCAACATTTATCATCAAAATTACTTTTTTTATGAACATCAAATGTTTAAAACAAGTCAAACTACTAAGGCGTCTTACATTTCTTTTGTATATTCAAGTAACATTCTACAATCTTGTAAACATTAAATCCAAATTATATAAAAGAAAATTTATAGAGATATAACTAGTTAAATATATAATACTACACTAAAAATTCTATTTGTAATCTTTTGAATGTTCACGAAGGTTCCCTATTATGATATTAACAAATAAATTGTTGCTGGAAAATGTTCCCATTTATCCAAAGAATGTTGCTAGCAAGATCTTTGGTTTTAGTCATTTATATAAGTTAGATATAGGCCATGTTTTTTTGAGAATTGCACAATTCTCACCGGCTATTAACTTTTTACAAGGGAATTACTTATCAAATCTCTTCCATTTTTCTTTTTCATCTTTCCTATTTTCGGTCGCTGCGACTAAAAGCTTAGAGTTTATAGTTTATAATCGCTGGAGAAACTGGATACAAAATAATATACCACCCAAATTAATATAGTTTGACTAATGGTATATAACTAAAGGGATAAATCATATCGGTATTAAAGTATTAACTAATGGTATGCCACAAAAGCACAAACCAAGCCTTAATCCTTTATTTTCCATTTTCTTACCTTAATCATAATCTAGCACTTTCCCATTTTTCCGTACTTCCATATTTTTCACTTATTTTGTTTGTATACAATCCCTATTAGACTATCTACGATGGTTTATTTAATCAACATCCTCTTTTTCATTCCACATCATCTTCTCTCACTTCCACCTAATCATTCAACAACTATTTTAATTTTAACCTTTACAATGGTTTTGTTTATTAAAATTCAACATTTGACCCCACTTTTTTATTTCAGAATATTTAATTTTATTTATGTTTTTTGTTTATATGATTATATATTAATAACGATTAGCGAATATAATTAAATAAAAATAGTTAAGAGTTAAAGGTTTTTTCTTATTTTATATTCTTATTTTTTTAATAATATACAAAATATATAGATATTCATTATGAAAACAAATAAAATTACATAAAACGTAAAATGAAATATAATATATTAATAAACACACGACATATTAAAACACACAAACTTAATCAGTACAATCAACTTAATTCAGAAACAATAAAGCTTTTAAATCACACAATAAAAGACAAATAACTTACTTAGTACAGTAAATTCAATTCAAAAACAATAAAGCTTTAAAATCACACATAAAGCTTTAAAATCACACATAACTTAATTACCAAATTTTGCCCATATGTGTTTTACTAAATCTGCTTGCAACTCATGATGTACGTTTGAATCACGTAACTCAGATCTAGCACGCACATGATTTGCAAATGCCGGTAGCACCTCGGTCGAGAATGGTTGTGGTGTACTAGACCCACTTTCTTCAGATTGATCATAATTGGTCCAATGCTGAGCATATGTATCTCGTTCATTCTCAACAATCATATTATGCAATATGATACATGACCTCATGATGATGATAGCCAAATCAGCTATGTCCCACATGCGAGCTGGTTCACGAATTATTTTAAATCGAGCCTGCAACACTCCAAACGCACGTTTGATATCCTTCCGACATCCCTCTTGACGTTGAGCAAATAGCTTGTTTGGTTCACTCTGAGGAAGTCTAATTGACTTGACGAAAGTGGGATAAGAAGGATAGATTCCGTCAGCTACATAATATGCCATATTGTACGGACATTGGTTCACAAAGAAGTTCACTCTTGGAGTATTTCCTTGTTCAACATCATCAAACACTGGTGAACGATCTAAAACATTTATATCGTTCAATGTGCCTAGCCACCCGAAAAATGCATGCCAGATCCAGAGATCATGAGATGCAAGTGCTTCAATAATAACAGTAGTGGTTCCCTTATCACCTCGGGTATATTGACCTTCCCACGCCGTTGGACAATTTTTCCATTCCCACAATGCATGCAATTAATACTACCAATCATCCCCGGAAATCCCTGCATCTCGCTAACATGTAGAATTCTTTGTATCTCATCTTGATTTGGAACTCTGAGATATACTTTCTCATACAATTGTATGATTTAAGACTATGCAAGTGGTAGCAAGAGAAAATACTTCAAGAGAGATCATGTAGCCGCAAACCAACGATTGATTGACGACTACTTTGCCGATCAACCTACATGATCTCTCTTGAATTATTTTCTCTTGCTACCACTTGCATAGTCTTTTTCTATTTGGTTCTGACGCTCTCTAAACCGGTTCACGATATATCTCTCTTCGATTTCAGACTGCCTTTGTAAGCTTCAATATCAAAAGGAAAATCAGATGGATCCATTGATTTTTTTTAGTATGATGAGACTTGTGGTATTGTGGTACGTTAATGAAAGATAGAGTCCTCATATATAAGTAATTGAGTGGTTGAAATCATTAGACTACGAAGCTGAAAATCCAAAAGTCCAAAAATCACGGATAAGGATTGGGTTGGATTGGATTCGATTTGATTCTCTCACAAGAAAGCCACATGTCACGGAGTTCATTGTCAGAGAAAGAGCCAAATACACATTATTAAAACAGAAAGAACCAAACGTTATTAAAAGCACAAGAAACATACACACATTATTGATTATTGATAAAGAATAGAGAAACACATTATTAAAGTAAAAGAAACATATACACATTATTAAAGCATAAGGAAATAAATTACAAATAGACAAGTGAAAAAAATTAATAATAGATCGTCGCTCAACTTCGCCAACAGTTTTTGGCTCTTGTCATCGAGATGTTCTTTCTGACTTAACTTTAAAATTCATCTTCTTAGCTTCAGTTCTTTCTTTCATTAATTTGCTCGCCTCCTCTTGCCTCATGGATATTTTATCCAATCGTTCCAACTCTGGCTCCTTCAATTGTTTAAATTCATTCCACTCTTCAGTGATCACTTCCAAAGCTGCGCTTTTGCCTTTTTTTTACCCTTTTTTAGTTGCATCTCTCCTCATTGGACGACCAATAGATCCTACAGAGCTTGAGTCACTTGTATCATTCTCACGAGATCTTTTAGATCCACTGCTTCCAGAGCAAGTATTTCCTCCTACCAAACTACCATAATGTGGTTGATCACGAATAGCGTGCCATTCAAACATTAAATCGAGTTGATCTTTAGAACCACTTAAATATAATTCATGCGCTTCTGCCAATACATCGTTCTCCGATCATCCGCGTTGTTGCATTCGCTTGGCGTTATCATAAGAACCTGTCCAATTTTACCCCAATATGCTTCTCCTTTTTGGTTTTTGCCAACAACGCTGTCAGTGCCATATTTAACCCATCCACTTACTAGCACCAGATTTTGCTCAGTGGTCCATTTAGAGCATTTTCGGCGAGAAGGAGTTGAATCCTCTGCATTTGGAGTGACTTCTTGAACACCGCTCATATCACCAAGAGCCATTTGAGTAGAGAATTCGGGAAATTCAGTTACTCCAACGTTGTCATTACTCGTTGGAGTAAAAGAAAAATGATTTGTTTGAGAAGGATTTGGCATCATTGGACTACAAAATGGAGGATAATTTGGAATAACTGAAGGCATGAAAAAAATTGGTGGAAATCCATAATTTGGTATATTTTGTGGTTGGTTGGAAGACGGATTTTGAAGTTGATAATTGCTGGGATTTGGGTTAAAGGGTAATTAGTATAATTTTGGGTGTTAAATGGATTATTGTTGGGATCCATTTCACAAAATAATGAAGTTTTTTCGGTGTCCAAATCAAATGAAACAAGTATCTTTTTATAGAGTACAAAAACTGATAAATTTTCATATAATAAAAATAAAATTTAAAATAAATTTACTAAAGTATAAATGATCTGCAATAATTTGGTGGAAAAAACAAAACAAAAATCTCTACAACCAATAGAAAAGTAACACATATATTTATTTATATTTTAATTTATAATAATTATATCAACCAATTAGTAAATGACACATGTCTAGTTTGTCTCTTTCTAACCCATTCAACGGTTGAATTAATTCAACACTGATGAATCCACCTCAGCTTCTCTATTTTTTCAACGAACCATTGCATGCTATTAAACTGTTGATTTTTTTTTAAACAGGCCACTGTAAATAGTCTTATAGAAAAAGAAAAGTACAAAAATATTTTCGAGCCAGGTTCTAAAAAAAAATACTCAGATTTCAACTTGGATATTTTTCTTAATGTTTCACCGATTAATTTTTCATGTTTACTCGAGTCAAATTACAATACTCTGAAATGGGCCTCAATTTCGGCCCTTGCAGAAAAATAAAAAAACAACCCCTCAATAGGGTCATCACTCATCAATATACAACTCAGAATATTCTTCTAACATTCCTTTATTCACTCCTCAATAAAGCGAAATTATGCTTCACTATTATCTTTCCTCTTTTTCATCGAACTAATTTCTATAGTACTATTTAGATATAGTAAGCAAATAATATATAGTTTCCAATCGTATCTCCTACATTTTTACGAAACAAAAATTACGAAGGTAAAATCAAATATTCCATTCGATATGCATAATATAAAAATCTAAACGATACCCATTGTTACAAGTTACAACGATTATATAACCCAGTTTTCCTGAACCAAAGTATGTTATTGCTATGGGAGCGTGTACAATTACAGGGGCGATGTTTAGTACCGATTCTCAAAACCAAACAAAGCATGCGCCTTCTTAACTTAGGAAACTTTCCCAAGGTTTCAAGATACATCTTTCATGTTACTTTCAAGCTGTAAGGCTTGCTCATCACGAATAGAAACACACCTACTTTTGTTTTTTTTTTTTTTTTTTGAAACACACTTACTTCTTTTCATATTATAAACTCATTAATCTTCAAAGATGATGGCCGAAGAATATCCTTTCATATACTTAGGCCATGAATGTTTTGTAGTTTTTAAATGGGTTTTAACTTTTGGTTTTTGGCTTTTGGTTTTTGGTTTTTGGTATTTAGTTTTTTGATTTTTGTTGTAGATTTTATTGTTAGAAAGCTGAAAAAATGGTTTTTAGTTTTTATGAAGGAATTGAGCAAATCTCACAAATTCGGGTTTTCCTAAATTTAAAGAAATCTACTTTTATAAGAATCGTGAATGGAAATTTTTTTGGTTTCTTAGAATCAAAAACCAAAAACCAATAAAAAAACTGCAGCCATTCAAGGCCTTAGCTTCCATCAAACAGTTCAAGACCAGTTGGAAAATCCAAGTTAAAGTTAAAATTCTTGATATACTTTCATATGTTGCATCTGTTTTTCTGTATTTGCCAATTTCATCAATAAAAGTGTTTTTTTTTTTCAAGTTCAACAGAAAATACAAGTTATGCAAATGATATGGTTAATTATTTTGTCTTTCAAAAAAATTTGCAATCTAGCAGGCAATAAGTGAAGAAATAAACCTTTTATTAGTAAAATTCAAAAGGAAACACAAACCTTATATGGGTTGAATCCGCTTAAATTAAAACAAGAGCGTCACATGTTTTCTTCAGCAACAATTCACTCTGCAATTTACCTGAATCAAAAACCCGTCTTTTTTCCCCATGCTATCTTTCACCAATTTTAACATGCCAAATTTAACCAAAAAACACTGAAACTCAAGATTGGTTTGGTTCAGCGATGAGTGTTTGGTTTAGCAATTCTTTGATTCGAGAACCCTAAACTCAAGAAATGACGTCATATTACTCAACTCTGATGTTCCGTTTCCGTCACCGCCACGGTGTCGGCTGACTCATCGCTGTTAAATACTTAAGAAAGAAGTTTTTTTTTAAAATTTGTTTTTGTGATTTCAAAGTTTTTTTTTCTTGTACTAATTAATTTATGTGTGTTTTATTAGTTCTATCATGCGTAATTTAAGGTTCTGATATTGTAATGACTTTATGTTTTTCGTAAGAAAATTTCATAATAATTATATTTCTCTAACATCTTAATTTTTTATTTTCATAAGAAACCATTTTTGTTTAACACGTTTTTAATATATTTAAATATTTTTGGATATATTAATAAAACTTTCAACCAAATTAGGTTAATTTTTTTTTTCTATATATAAACATTTTTGAATACTTAGGCCATGATTGGAAGGAGTTTTTAAATTGGTTTCTAGCTTTTTGGTTTTTGGATTTTAGTTTTTAGTTTCTAAATATTTGGTTTTTGGTTTTTGCTAAAATTTTTGAAAAATAAAAATTGAAACATAATAGAATTAACACAAACGATGAAAGAAACCACTATAAAGTAGTTTTTGGTTTTTCTTTGAAAATGGGTAAAAATTTTCAAAAACTAGATTACCATATTTTTAGGGAAACCAATTTTGCAAAATCTTTAATTACAGTAAATCAGATTTTTAGAAAAACTAAAGCCAAAATCTACTTAAAATCTAGTAAACCATTTTATAATGGTTATGGCCTTATTTTTATAAACTTCTTTTTCCAATAGAGTAAAGACGTTTTATACATAATAAAGAGTAAAACTTCTTTAAAACTTTATACATAATAAAGAAGTTTTATACCTCTGTATATTCTAGTTCATATACATAGGTATGGCTACTGTTACCCAATTTGTTTCCTCCTTTATTTTCTTTTAATGAACGTGGCAGTCGTCGTAGCCGTATCCAAAAGCGTGCTCGAGGTTTTCTCAACTCATAGGTTTTGCTTGTCGGGTTCTGAAGTCTGGTTCTTGGTTTCGAGAGAGCAGCTCTCGTCGTGATAGGAGGAGGTAGATGTTATTTTAGGATTGGCCGAGGGCATCCTAAATAAATCTCATCCGCAGGTGCTTCAGAAGAAGTGTTTCCTTGTGTTCTTTAGTCTTTCTTTCCGCTTAAGGTTTTAGCCTAGTGCTCCTGTCATAGTTTATGGTTTCGTCCTTTGCCTATCTGCTTGAAATATTTGCCTTGTATTTTCATGTCTCTTTTCCATTGGGCTTAATTTCTGGGAATATTTCGTTTTCCTCCGGCTGTGTGACTCTGGGAACATTTCTGTCGTTCGCCGGCTTATGCTTTCCTCTTTTGGACATTTGCTCCCCTTTGTGGGGTTTGGTTTCCGGGAATTTGTAGTTTTTCCACCGACTTTTGTAACCTCAAAATGTATCTTTGCTTTTATAAATATATTCAGATGACAAAAAAAAAAGGCAAAGGTTTTTTTCTTTGCAATGACAGTAAAAGTAATTTCTGTATCACAACAGATATTACTATTCATATATTTCAAACCCTTACGAGACGTCATTAAATATGATACGGAATGACATCTCGTAATTTTTTTTATTCTTTTTTTATCATCTTTACATTTATCAATTATAAATTTCGATAATGCATTTTTATCATTTCAGTAAACTACTGATTGATCCATTCCTATTACCCGGTACAGTACCTAAACCGTCACATCTTTGGTTCGATTCGGTTTATAACCGACGACCTACTTATTCTACTGCTCCAAATCCTTAAGAAAAAAACAAAATTATGGAACCTTGAAAAAAAAAAACAAAATTGTTTGCGACATTTATCCAAAACCGGAGGTAGGCGGGAACACTGTGAACCACATCACCGTCGAATGGGCCAATCAACTTCCACATTCCGGCGATCTAAAAGTAACTTCACTTCTCCGTTACTACCCAATGAAGCCGAAGAAGATGAACCGTACGATTACACTTCTATCTTACCAGACGAGTGTTTACCGTTGATTTTCCAATCGCTAACTTGCGCCGACCGGAAACGTTGCTCACTAGTCTGCCGTCGGTGGTTAGAGATTGAAGGACAGTGTCGTCATCGTCTCTCTCTGAAAGCTCAATCAGATCTTATCTCAGTGATTCCTTCACTTTTTTCTCGGTTTGATTCGGTTACTAAGTTGGTTCTTAGAAGTGATCGTAGATCTCTTGGTATATGCGATGAAGGATTCGTTATGATTTCGGTTAAGTGTCGGAATCTGACCCGGTTAAAGCTCCGTGGTTGCCGTGAGATTTCGGATTTAGGGATTGTTGATTTCTCTAAGAATTGTAAGGGTTTGAAGAAAGTGTCATTTGGATCTTGTGGGTTTGGGGTTAAAGGGATGAATGGTTTGTTGGATAATTGTTTAGGTTTAGAGGAATTGTCGGTGAAACGTTTGCGTGGAATTGTTGCGGGTAGTGAGCTTATAGGCCCCGGAGCAGCTACGGGTTCGTTGAAGATGGTTTGTTTAAAGGAGTTGCATAATGGTCAGTGTTTTGCTCCGTTGTTAAGCGGAGCGAAAGGTCTTAGGACTTTGAAGATATCTAGGTGTTCCGGGGACTGGGATCGGGTTTTTCAGGCGGTTGGTAATCAGGTTAATGCCATTGTTGAGATACATTTAGAGAAGATTCAGATGAGTGATTTGGGTCTAATTGCGTTATCGAAATGTTCGGGTGTTGAGATTTTGCATCTTGTTAAAACTCCTGATTGTACGAATATTGGCCTTGCTTTGGTGGCTGAAGGGTGTAAACTTTTAAGAAAGCTTCACATTGATGGATGGAAGACAAATCGTATCGGTGATGACGGGCTTATAGTAGTTGCTAAATCTTGCTGGAATTTGCAGGAGTTGGTTTTGATTGGTGTGAACCCTACAAACTTAAGTTTGGAAGCACTTGCCTCGAATTGTCTTAACTTGGAGCGATTGGCATTGTGTGGAAGTGAGACTGTAGGTGATACCGAGCTATGTTGTATCGCTGAAAAATGTTTGGCATTGAAGAAGCTTTGCGTTAAGAACTGTCCCATTACTGATGATGGGATCCAAGCGTTAGGGGCCGGATGCCCAAATCTGGTAAAGGTGAAAATTAAGAAGTGTAGAGGAGTGACCAATGAAGGAGCTCATCGTTTAAGGAAAAGAAGAGCGTTGCTTATTGTCAATCTGGATACTCCCAAGACACCAATTGCCGAGGCTAGTGCCAGTGAAGGTGGAGCACAAGAGGTTGCAGTTGACTCACCTCCATCCAGACTGCAAATACCAACCCTGGGCATTGCATCTGGTAGCATCAGGTGGTCAAGACTTGGATTTTCGAGCTGGAGAAACGTTGCTTTTGCACTGACAAGGTTGGGAAATCGTAGTAGCTCCCAGCAGGATTAAAGATTATTCAAAGGATGTGGAAACAATTAACTTCTACATGTTTGAAACTGAGTATGACCTTTCTTTTTAGTTTATTCTGAAAGATGTTTTTTATTTGTGTAGCACCTGTATGTTGTTGTCACATTGATTCAGCAATTGTTTAGAATGCTCAAGCTGTTTGTAAAAGCAAGTGTTTCACATCATGTCGCCACAGTTAATCTGATACATATCTAAATGATGCAGATGGTTTAAACGCACAAGAACATATTTAGTATGGCCTTAGACTAAACACAAACTTACATCGGATATAGATCTTGGTCAATGACATCAATGTAACTTGTGTAGTTTCAGATTTTGGCTATTAGCACAACACAAAAGAAAGAATCTATCAGTCAACCTATAACATAATGCAGTAGCTGGGTTAAGTTTGAACATCCTTGCATACAGGTATTAAAAGAAAAAAAGACCGTAATTGCAATATTGACTAGTCTCTTTTGGGGGTCTCAACAACAGTATTTGATTAAGGACATCTTTCTACCCTATCAATTGGCTTTCTTCTCCTTTGCTGCAGCAGGCTTTGAATACAAGAGAATCTGAGTCAGGATACTTCCATTGGTGATGACTCCAAGAGCAAAACCCGTAAGAACTATGGAAGGGTTGAGGAAAATGACAGATTTAAGCATATAAAAAGCATTGTGTTTGTATGATTATAGCAAGCATAATAAAAAGCAAATATTAGCTGAGAAGGATACTGCTAAGGGGGGCCTTTTCCTGGAGGCTGGTGAAAACTCTCACTGCAAACAAAACAAAGAAGTATTACGAGACAAGAAAACATTACGTATCGAATGGAAATAGAAGATGCAATAAGGGAGCTGTTTTTACCTATGGACCCGGCAAAGTTCATGAAGAAAGTTAAGAAACTAAGTTCTCCGGTGCTTTTGTTCTGTATAGAGAGAGTAATGTGGATCATACGCAGTAGCCAGAAGACTTCATACAAAATTTATGCAAATATATAGTTCTGAAAGTATACTTCTATAGAATCTATAGAAATATTTATGGGAGAATACATGTATCAAACGTTTGAAACATAATGTGTAAAAATGCATCTTTGCCCTTCCCAATTCAGACAAACAAAAAATCTTTGCCCTTCCCGGAAAGGATGTAAGGTAAACTATACTATGACAGTTACTGATAAACCGATCAATGGAACATAAAGGCGTATATTTATCAACAAGCTATAAATCTTAAAACACCGTTCATACTTAGTCAAACAAGAAGAGTGGAAAAGATAAGGAAAAACTGAGCATTTATAAATAAACTCACATTGAAGTTCTTCCATATCTGAGGGAGTCTTGCAAAGAGAAATATTGCATGCTGTGAAGCCTACAACACAAAACATACTCTCAAAATGTATCCACACACACACACACTCACACACACAAACTCAAACCCTTAAGTGAATAAAATAAGGAGTTTGTTGTCCTCACATAAAGAGCTTCAAAGAGCGTAGGATTAATCTGTCCAGCAAGCACGGTTGGTGCGACAGCACAATATCTGTATCGGCTTAGAATTAAGAAAAACCTAATACAACCGAGTCTCAAATCAAACATAGGTAAAACTGAGAGGATACAGTAGTGGCCTGAGCCAAGTTGTTACAGGAACTGGTTGAGAATAATAATAAATACAAGCAACCAAGATCAAAGCTGCAAAGATAACAAAGATGATATCAGAAACCATAACAAATAACACCAATTTTCCAATTCAAGTATGATCATATAAACCTTGGATCAAAAGAAAAGCCATTTCGCCGAAAGCCGAAAAGGGAAGGCCTTTATGCAAACAATAAGCAAGTGAAATTGTATATCCAACAACTTCAAGCTCAAATGCCATAATACTTAAGCCTCGTACACTTTTATGTTGCACAATTTTCATAATCTGACAAATCAAAAAACCAATAAGCAACAAACACAATTTTGGAGTTAGGGTTTGAGTTTGGGATTATACTCACCTGAGGGAGCTTGACGGTGATTGAAGCAGCGACGAGGCAGTAACCGAGAAGCTTTGAAATTAGAGGAAGAAGACAATCTTTCTCCGGGAACTCACCGTTTCGGAGAGATCCGATCGCGCAGCTCATGTCGATTCCGAGATAATCCATTGTCTTCTGCTTCTTCTTCTTCTTCCTGTTCAGTTGATCTTACGCTTGGATCTTACTCCTCGATGAGGGTAGATTTGGTTATGGAGGTAGCGGAGGAGACGGCCTTTCGCGGCGGTCTCAGCGGTGGGGATAGATGTAACGTGACGGTGAGAGCTTAATGTTTGTTTATGTTTGTTTATTGTTTTATAAGATCCCAATCCATAGCTTTGTGTCGTTTTTTGAAATAGTGTTAGAGGCCCATTTATTATTTTCTGGTTTTTAAGGCCCATTTATTATTTTCGTATGTCACTTTGTTATGCCTTTACAGTTCGAACATGTCAGACGATGGCATGACAACCTACTATTTTTTTGCGTAGATTCTTTGATATATATATTTTTGTATCATAATGTTACGGAGTCACATATATTGACAAACATATACATACATACATACATACATACATATATAGTGCAAATAAGAATACAATTCAAGAGGGAACTTCCTCACTATTTTCCTCTTCTTTGTCGTTGCACTAGCACCTTCACTGATAGAAAATAGGAATACAATTCTAGAAGTTCCTTCAGCTTCACGTTTCCCATCAGACATATACATCATTTTCTCCTAGTTGTAAGCTTTTATTTTATTATTAGAGTGAACTAATTTTAATATATGGTAGACCAAAAATTTAGATTTTGGTAAAAGATACATAATTTATTAGTTCTGGAACATGGTCCACTCAGAAAATAACAAAACTAACTCTACAAACGCTTTTAAAGAGCTAATAGAATCTTCACTACAAAATAATTCTATATTTACTTGCTAAAACTATAATATTATTAGAGTAGCATTGGCGAATATTCCAGTGGGTCCGCATAGTTTTCCCACAGCATCGGTATACACTAATATGGATTATTTATTCGGTTTGCCCTTTGAGGATGGGTCGAATAGTTTCTATCCCTGGTTATTATGGTATATATGGAAGGCGAGAAATGAAAAGGTGTTCAGTAATGGAACTGAGAGTCCGATGGATGTGGTTCGGATTGCAAAAGACGAGGCAAAGTCTTGGCAAGAGGCCCAACTCGATGAAGTGGAGACTCAACGGCAACCTTCATTAGATATCCCTCGGCTACAACCCCGGGGATGTCGGCTACCTTGATACTTTACAGGATATAGGTGTTTTGTTGATGGTTCTTGGAAGGACACAGATAAATTTTCAGGCTTAGGATGGTTCTGCCGGAACGCTGAGGATGGATCAACTACAATGGGAGCCAAGAATTGTAGACGGAGTCTCTCACCTTTGCATTCAGAAGTCGAAGCTTTGGTGTGGGCGATGCGATGTATGATAGGTCACAATTTCAGAGATGTGGCTTTCCTCATAGACTGCTCGGATTTGGTGAAGATGGTGTCTTCCCCGCTTGAGTCGCCATCGTTTTCTGCATATCTGGATGACATAGCTGTTGACAAGGAGGAATTTTCTACCTTTTCTTTGTCTCTTATTTCTCGGAGTGCTAATACCAAAACGGATAGCTTGGCACGGAATGTCCGTACGACGCCGCTCTCTGTTCTGTATGTGAACGATTGTCCCCCTAATTCGTTTTTATAAGCCAATTCTATAGTTATTGTTGACAAAAAAAATATATATTAGAGTAGCTGGTTTGATGTATTTGGTTAAGTTAATTTTATTTAGATTCCGGTTTACTTATTCCCGGTTTAGGTCATTTGTTGTATATATGCACTCACTGTATAGTTTGTTACGATTGACGAAATAAGAAAACATTTCACAAATCGTCTTTGCTCATGAACTCTATCATGGTATCAGAGCTGTTCTTCCGCATTTCTCTGTGATTTCATCTTCAATTCTTCAGATTCTTCAAATTCACACCGATTAATCGTCTCTGGAAGCTTCGATTGTTCTTCGTTAACCTCGATCTCGGCAAAAATGGTGAAGAAAAGAGGAAAACTGAGAGGTAGAAGCGAAACACCATAAATTGAAGCATCCGTAGCTAAGTTATCTCGCGGCTCTGCAATTCTTGAAGATCCAAAAGTAGATATGGTGAAACAACAATGTTCTTAGAGATCGGTTGGATATGGATCAATGTCGCGACAATCTAACGAGTTCGACAATAATCCATTCAATCTCCAATCCTACGATCACCCATGTTTATCGATTGTTGCTCATGTCTTAGATGGAACTAATTACAATAGCGGGTCTATAGCGATGATGATTAGTCTAGATGCTAAGAACAAGCTTAGTTTCATTGACGGATCACTTCTTACACCATCAGAAAGTGATTATGTTTTCAAGATCTGGAGTAGGTGTAATAGCATGGTGAAATCATGGATTCTTATTGTTGTGAGCAAAGAGATTTATGATATATCTTGTACTATGAGGATGTTGTTGAGATGTGGAATGATCTGTTTGCTAGATTCAAAGTGAACAATTTTCCAAGGAGGTATCAACTTGAACAAGCTGTGACGGCTCTGAAACAAGGTCAACTTGATTTGTCCACTTACTACACAAAGAAGAAGACATTGTGGGAGCAGTTGTCTAACACAAAGATTTGTAGTGTGAAGAGGTGTGACTGTGATCATGTGAAAGAGTTACTTGAAGAGGCAGATACAAGTCGCATCATACAGTTCCTTATGGGTTTAAGTGATGACTTCAACAAAATCAGGAGCAACAATACTTAACATGAAACCTAGGCCTGGATTGAGTGAGATCTATAACATGCTAGATCAAGATGAGAGTCAGAGGCTTGTGGGAATGTCTTTAAGACCTATCTATACTCCCTCAGCTTTTCAATCTCAAGCTGTGATTCCGGATCAGAATTCAATCTTGATGGCACAAGGCAAATTTCAGAAACCAAAATGTTCTCATTGTTCTCGCATTAGTCACATAGTGGATAAGTGTTATTAGATACATGGATATCCTTCTGGCCATCCAAAAGCGAAGAAGAACAATTATGTTGGTTGCACTAACTTGGCAAGTACTGGTAGCTTGAAGAGCAGCCTGATCAGTCTGTGGCTATAGTGAATGATGATATAACTAAAGACCAACTTCAACAGATGATCTCTTATCTTAGCACCAAGCTTCAGTCCCCGAGTATCACCTCTTGCCCTGAGAAGGCTATAGCTCCGACTTCAACCTCTGTACCTTCTATCTCACAGATATCTGGTACTTACCTCTTTTTATATGACTTCACTTTCTATAACATGTTAACTTCCTCTATACATCATGAGATTGAGTTGTCTATTAGAGCTTGGGTTATAGATTCAGGGGCTAGTCATCATGTTAATCATGAAAGGGGTTTTTATAGAGATTATAAAGTCTTATTTAATACTTTTGTTAGATTACCTAATGGGCATACAATTAAGATAGAGGGAACTGGTTACATTCAACTTACTGATGCTTTGTCTTTACATAATGTGTTACATATTCCTGAGTTTAAATTTAACTTGTTGAGTGTTAGTGTTATCACTAAATCTTTGAACTCTAAAGTTAATTTTACTTCTAATGAATGTATGATACATGCACTTACTCAGGATCTAATGATTAGAAACGGTAATCAAGTTGCAAATCTATATGTCATGAATTTGGATAAGTCACTTGTTCATGTGTCTCATTCTTCTCTTTCTGGTAAGTCTATCTGTTATGTCTTACAACTAAACTCAGATATATGGCATAAAATGTTAGGACATCCAGCTATAGCTAAAATAAAGTCTCTTTAAGATGTATTGTTATTATCCAAATCCACTATCAATAAAAATAAAAATCATTGTCATGTTTGTCATTTATCTAAACAGAAACATTTGCCTTTTAAATCATCAAATCATATGCGTACTAAATCTTTTGATTTGGTTCATATAGATACATGGGGTCCATTTTTTGTTCCAACTGTTGATGGTTATCGATATTTCTTAACAATTGTTGATGTTTTTAGTAGAGCAACCTGGTTATACATGCTTAATAAAAAATCTGATGTTTTGCTAGTGTTTCCTGGTTTTATTAAAATGGTTGAAACTCAATATAACACTAAAATTTGTTCTGTGAGATTTGATTATGCACATGAATTGAAATTTACTGATTTTTATATGAAAAATGGAATCAAGGCTTTTCATTCTTGTCCCGAAACTCCTAAACAAAACTCAGTTGTATAGAGAAAGCATCAGCACTTGTTGAATGTAGCTAGGACTCTTATGTTTCAGTCTGGGTTCCTTTAGAGTATTGGGGTGATTGTGTCTAAACATCAACTTTTCTTATTAATAGGTTACCTTCTCCTGTAATAGATAATAAATCTCCATATGAAAAACTAACCTCTACAGTCCCAGATTATCATAGTTTAAAAGCCTTCGGTTGCTTATGTTATTGTTCTACTTCTCCTAAATCTAGAATTAAGTTTGACCCTACAGCTAAGGCTTGTATTTTTCTAGGTTATCCCTCAGATTCTATTTCTGGAGATGTCATTTTCTATGAGGATATCTTTCCTTTTGCATCATCTAATATCTCAGATGATGTAAATACATTCTTTCCTCATTTTTCTCTTCCTGCACAAATCACTGGTGAACATTTGCCTTTAGTGCAATCATCTTCTGATGCTCCTGACAATCATGATGAGACATCATCCCTGGTTTTTGTTCCTTCTGAAACTAAACCAACTAGGCAGAGAAAATTGCCTTCCCATTTGCAGGACTTTCATTGTTATAATAATAATACTCCTACTATAAGTAAGCCAAAAAAGAACTTCTCCTTATCCTTTAGCAAACTATATTTCTTATTCCAATCTTTCTCAGCCTTTATGTGCTTTCATTAATATCATTACCAAAACTGCAACACCAATTAAATATTCATAAGCTATGCATGACAAGGCTTGAGTTGATGCAATGGGAAAGAAGATTGATGCTTTTATAAGGACTGAAACTTGGAGTGCTTGTGATTTACCCCCTGATAAAGTTGTTGTAGATTGCAAATGGGTTTCACAATTAAATATTATGCAGATGGGAGTATTGAAAGGTTTAAGGCACGACTGGTGGCTAAAGGGTATACTCAGCAAGAGTGAATATATTTTATTGATACATTCTCACATGTAGCAAATATGGCTACTGTGAAAATGATTCTTTCTCTTGCACCTAAGATGTAATGGTCCTTACATCAATTGGACATATCTAATGCATTCTTGA